CACAGCAGGAGGACTGGCAGCAGGAGGGGGCACAGCAGCAGGACTGGCAGCAGCTGGGGGCACAGCAGGAGGGCTCACAGTAGCTCTCAGGGCAGTCGTCCACCTCCCAGGAGGAGCCGGTGCAAGACTCAGTGGAGCCAGGCAGGCAGACTCGGCTGCCATAGCTCAGGTCACTGGAGCAGACGGACATGGTAGATGCGGCCTTGGTGGGTGGGTGGAAGGCGAGGTGGTAGAGGAGGAGGGGTGAGTGAGTGAGTGGGTGTTTCTGGTCTGTGGGCCTTTTATATGACTCCTGACGAGTGTTGTCCCAACAGGGCCTCCCCCAGGCCTTCCTGCCCTGGTGGAAAACACACAGCTTGTGCACTTCCCCTTCCTGGAGTTGTGGCTCCGCATTGGCTGTCAGCTCAGGGAAGCAGGACTTGTTTTAGCTTCCTGGAGGGACGCTGCGGTGGGGGAAGACTAATTACTCCAGCAGAGGGCTTCTGTGGGCTGAGGAAGGACCCCCATCTCTGAGTGCACTGGTCCCCGACACACACCATCCTCTCCCCCACCGGCTGATCATCTGTAGTACTGGGGGCTCTGCTGGCTTCTTCAGCTCCCGGCCTTGTGCCTCCCGACCTTGTTGGGTTTCTAATCAAAGGTCATGTGGGTCCTGCTTTTTCTGCAGTGCCACGTCAGGGGTCGGCCCAGTGCAGGAAGCTAGCTCGGGCTGAGAGGCTGGACCCGTCTCATTCCTCATGAGCACCACTCTGGGGCAGTGGAGCCCAGGGGAGCAGGTTTCCTCCCTGAGTGCGGAGCATAGTAGCACGCGTGCGCACACACACACACCTCGTGTCCACTCAGGCCTGAGTCCAGGGGACCGCTGTGGATTGTGGCGTACAGGAGAGCTCTCACCGCCCCTCCCACATCTTCCCCTGGCGCCGGCGCATCTAGCATAGCCCTCAAGCAAGGCCTCCGTCTCAGGTGAAGACATTCTCCGCGGTACGTTGCAACGGAGGTCACGGCTGTTAGTCCATAGTTGAATTCTTACTTCTTCTTCCGGGAGAGACCCAGGTGTGGCTCCCAGCCATTCCCCCTCGCGCACAGCCGCCACCAGCCTGTCTGCGAGACTTGCAGGTTGCTGGAATGCCCAGTGGGTTTCAGCCGAGCTCTCAGAAGAAGCAGGACTGGGGAGACCGTTCTGTGATCTACTTCGAAAACCAACCCTCGAGCGCCCTATGGATCGCAGCGAGCCGAGCAAGCAGGGGGGCGCAGGGCAGGAGGGAGAAAGGCCCTCATTGCCGCTCCTTTGAAAAGGCCACCAGGTGAAGGAGGCATCACCAGGGTCCACCTGATGGACAGGTTAGACTCCACCCCTAACGCCGCCCTAGTACCAAGTTGATTTCACACCTAACCACCACAGCTACTTTCCAGAACTGTCCTCGGTTTAGATTTGTCTGTTGCTGTTGATTTGGACTCACGGTGATATAATCCACTAGCTGCGGTTCTCAACCTGTGAGTCGTGACCCCTCTGGTTGTCGAACGACCCTTTCACAGGGGTTGCCCGATTCATCACAGTAGCAAAATGACAGTGATGAAGTAGCAACGAAAATAGTCTTATGGTTGGGCGGGGGGGTGGGGGGGGTGGGGTGGGGTGTCACCGCCACACGAGGAGCTGTCTGAAAGGGTCGCCAGGAGGAAGGTGGAGAACCACTGCGCTGCAGCGTGGAGCTGTACCAGCAGCTGTGCGTCTTGGTTGTCATAATCCTAAGAGAAGCGTGTGTCCAGACGTTTCCTCTGTGCTACACCTGAGTGGATTGAGATGGCCACATTTTAGATGATCCGTTGAGCTTTAGGCTGCAGTGACTATATTGGGGGGAAGGTTCCCACAAATGTGCTGTCATTTATTTGGTGTGTGTGTAATTGGTTTGTTGTATTTCAGTGGCCTGCATGTTACTTTGACCTTGAGAGGTATGCCACCGATATTTGAGATATGTGCAGAGTCCACCCCTGGTCCCCAAGTTCAGTGGCGTTTCCAGACTATCAAGACTTGGAAGAAGGAATGGCTGGTAGAATGCTGGGAAGTGGGAGACACTCAGCATCCGACTGGAGAAAAACTGACTTCGCCAAGGAGGAGCTGACCTTGAGGACGTGGATGGAGCAAAGTTCTCAGGACCTTCCCTTGGCGATGGGTGTAACATAAAAGGAGAAGAAACAGCTGGAAATACCTATTGGTAATCAGAATATGGAATGTACAAAGTCTGAACCTAGGAAAATTGAAAATTGTAAAACAAATTTGGTGAAACACATACAGCTTGATAGCTTAGACATGCATGAGCTGAAATGGACCGGCATGGGCCCTTTGGGATCAGATAATCATAGGCATGATCATGCTAAGAGTGACCAATGGTAGCGGAAAGGCATCACATTCATCATAAGACACAGTTGAGAAACGTTGTGAAGTACCGTGCTGCTCCTTGGGAGAAAGATGAGAGGCTGTCTGCTCCTGGGAAAAGCGGCCATCTCTGAAGCCCAAAGGACAGTTCCACTCTGACTGAATGGCGACGAATTTTTTACCTTGAGTGAAGATCTGAGAGGGAGCAAGCAGAGATGGGGGAAGAGAGATGCCAAGCCACGGGGAGATCTCTAAGGAGCCACGAAACAAATGCCAAAAGACAAGCGCCTTCCCCAAGTCACCAGAGGTAGAAAGGCTTCCCCTAGGGTTCGTTCCCTGAATTTGAACTTCTAGCCTCCGGAAGTGTGAGAAAATAATTCCTTCTTTAAAGAGAAACAAACAAAAGACACAGTCAAAGTGAAAGGGCTGTCAATGATCAATTTCTAAAACCATGAGCAACAAAATGATGATAAGACGGGACCATAATTTGAATAATGAAGTAAATATTCTTTAGTCCATACGGAAATACATCAACCGCAAAACAGACAAATCAATAGGAAAGGCGGGACAACTTCCAGAAGAATTTCTGGGAATCAGTGTAGATGGGATGGGGAAATGAAAATTCACCGTTAGAACACCACAATAATTATCCCTGGATGCAAATCCGTAGTGCACGTTAAAACTATTGGATCAGCATTTGCATGGTCTCAAAGTCTCGCCTCCCAATTTTACTAACCGCAAAGGGGAAAATCGTTACATCACGTGCAGAGGACGGCTACGCACCACCTACCCCACGTGAGCGAGCGAGGTTAGGCAGGTTCAGCTGTGCTGTTCCGTGCTGTTGAGTCAGTTCTGATGGAGAGTGACCTTCAGTACGACACAGAGCCAGGCACTGCCCAGTCCTCCCATCCTCACCCTGTTGTGATCTTTGAACCCATTGTTCACCGTGTCAAGCCATTCCGTTGAGGCGCCTCTTCTTTACAGTAGAACCTCTGCTTGACCAGCTATTATATCCTTTTCCAGGGACCGGTGGTTCCCCCGATGTTGTCAGGGCCCCTCGAGTTGGTTATGACCCGCCATGACCCTCTGCACCACAAAACCGAACACGGCACGATTCTGCGCCTTCCTTTGCCCGAGTCTGTTGGTACAGCCACTGGCTCAGTCCATCTCTCGAAGGGCATCTTCTTTGTCACTGCCCGCGCTTTACCCAGCATGATGTCCTTCTCCAGGGACTGGTCTCTGTGAAGCACTGTGGCCTTACTCTTCCGAGACACATCAGTTTGTCCTTTTAGCAGTCCGTGGTGCTTTCAATGATCTTCTCCAGGTCCAGAGTTCAAGTGCCTCGGTTCTTCTGTGGTCTTCTAAGTCCATGGCCAACTTTCACATGCAGGTGAGGCCATGGAGGATGCCAGGGCCGGGTCAGACGCACCTCAGTCCTCAAAGTGGCATCTGCGCTGTCCAGTGCTCTCACGCAATCCTATGCAGCAGAGTCACCGAATCCAACATGTCTTTTAATCTCTTGGCTGCTGTTGGACTTGGTTTGCTGAGGATTTCCGTGTCTGCATTCTGAGGAAGACGGATCTGTAGGTGTCTTTTCTTGGAGTATTTTTGCTTGGTTTTCATCATGTTGCCTTCATAAAGGATTTGAAAAATGTGTTCATCCCTTCCATTTTGCTGAAAGGGATTATGGGAAATTGCCAATGTTTCTTCTTTAACCAGTGAACTATCTGGATCTGAAGTTTTTTTTTGTTGGGATTTTTTTTTAAATTTTTGAGCTCACTCTCTCTAATAAATATGAGGGGGGTTCACAAAGTTTGTGGGAAATTGGAATGAAAAGAAAATGGAATTCCCCACAAACTTTTTGGCGCCCTTCACATAGGACTTTCTGGTCTACTTCCTCATTAATGAGGTATTTTTTTAATCATTTTATTAGGGGCTCATACGACTCTTATCACAATCCATACATACATCAATTGTGTAAAGCACATTTGTACGTTCATTGCCCTCATCATTCTCAAAACATTTGCTCTCCACTTAAG